TATTGTATTGTATTGTATTGTATTGTATTGTATTGTATTGTATTGTAAGGTTAGGTTAGGTTAGGTTAGGTTAGGTTAGGTTAGGTTAGGTTAGGTTAGGTTAGGTTAGGATTACATTACATTACATTACATTACATTACATGGAAATGTTTTTAAGATTTCCTGTGAAATAGTTACTGCAGCAAAAACTTTCATTTCACTTTCTCACTGCTTAAAAGTATAGTATGTTCTCTAAACTATGGTTATATTAGCAGGAAATATTTTTGTCCTGTGTAAGTAGCATAAGGGAGAAGAAGAATGAATTTTACCAAAGCTTTGTACTTTATATATCCTCTCTGCCCAATATCTGGAATAGAATGTATATACTTGCTTAAAGGACTGTCATGTTAATTTGTTGCATCAAAGCTTGTGCCAGGCTTTCTAAATCTAGGACTCTATCATAAGGCATATAGAAGGCACCAATAAGAAAAACATGTAACTATGAATAGATAAATTATTTGAATGGAGAGTGATAAGTAAGTTAGATACCAAAGACAAAATCTCAAAGTTCTTAAGTTTTGAAATATTCCACAAGAATACAAATGCTACCTACATACCTGAATACTGGAATCAGCTGACAATATTCCAAACAGGAGGTCATTCTTGGTTTTCAGAATGGAACTGTAGACTGCAGGACAAGGGTCTTCAAACTTGGCAAGTTTAAGACTTGTGGACTTCAACTCCCAGAATTCCTGAACTAACATGACTGGAGGAGGAATTCTGGGAGTTGAAATCCACACATCTTAAAGCTGTCAAGTTTGAAGACCCCTGCTGTAGACTAACCTTTGACTTAAAAGAACATTCTCCAAGATGGCATCTCCAGTTGGATGGAAACTGCCATACCAGAATTCCCAGTGAACATGACCAAGAGAAATCTAAATTAAATGAAATCATTTAAGCAATGCAATTAGTTGAGTGGAGGGATGAAATTAAATCAGAATTTTCCAAACTTGTAAACCGGGGATCTCAGACCTTTCTGAAGCCATATATTGCTGACATGGAATGGTTCTCATGATGAAATTGTCATGAAATTAAATGGAGAGTGATAAGTAAGTCCTGAAATGAAATGACCCAAAATAGTCATTTCCCAAATGCAACTGGTAAAGATCTCCCCTTTGTTTCCAACTCTCCCAGGATTTATGCCAGCATAGCTTTCTTTATTATAGGGACTGATGGATACATTTCCAAGCAATGCATAGCATTGCAGCAATATTTATTTTCTGGAGGAAGCCTATGAACGTGCATGAAGCTCATTTATTTTTCTTGGGGAAAAATGTTGTTGGATGGCCTTTTGTTTTTCAGAAGTTTTTCATCATAAAGCAACCTTGTCAAATGCCACAGGGAGTCTGTGAGCAATTAGAGAGGTCTCTAAAGATACATGAATATGTAGATACCTTCTTGAAGGACCTAGCTTTAAACAATTTGTTGTTTTTTTTTATTTATCTAACAGAAATCTGAGTGATAATTATAACCTAGAAAAGTTACCGAATGAAGTTTTCCAAGGAGCCCATGGACCAGGTTATTTGTAAGTAATAATTCTTGTTTTGTACTTACCATTGCTGATGCTTGTATAATCTCAGCTAAGTAGATGTTAAGATACCATCATGGCTCACATAAAAAAATGCACGTGGCTTTATTAAATTTAAGAAGCATTTAAATTTCATCACTGCATGAATCTCTTCGCTCTGCACTGTATATTTACTTTTGATTCTTTGCTCCCCTAAAGAGCACAAAATAATTAACACATAATTCCCAATTTATGATTCATTTAAGGAGCTTTGGGTATATAAAAAACTAAGGAATGTATTTCCTCATGAACTGGCAATGGATTCCAATTTTAGATAATCTAAAAGGGAGTGGGGAAAATTCATAGTCAATAGAGTTACAGATTGTAGGGATTAGAAGGAATCTTAGAGGTCATCTAGTCCAAACTCCTACTCATTTCAAGAATCCAGCAGAATCTCCATTGCTGATAGCCATTCATCCTCCTGTCAAAAGTATCCACCAAGACAGAGTCCCATTTTTCTAAGCAGACTGTTTCACTACTTAATTCATCCTAATATTCCACCTGAATCATCTTCTTTTAGTTTTTAACCATTGATTCTGTCTTAATCTGACAGGCTTATAGGCATTTGTAGTATGTTGTTACATCTGCCTTTATATTCACTTTTATAAACATGCCCATCTCCTTTAAGATTTGGCCTCTGGGCTCCTTAACTTGGAGGTAGCAGCTTCAGACTCTTCATATCTCTTCGAAGTTGCAGTACCCAGAATGGGACCCCGTAGTCTAGTTCAGCATAACCATATAATGGATAAAATAAATAAAAACTCCATATTGAGAGGCAAAAACAGGGAAGTTTTCCAGTATTTTATGGGTATGTTTATGTATGTTATTTGGCTCCATATTGTAATATGGATAAATGCACCAATGATGTCATCTTGTTATGCTATTCATTGGATAGTCAGCCAGATGTTCAGACCAGATTTGGCATTTTTGTCCACCTATCAAATCCTTTCCAAGGATTTAGGATAGGCAGATGTGGATGTTTGATAGTCTTTAAGGTATGACCACAATATGTAAGTTATCCCAAGTAAAACTGCCTTTTGAAATTAACTGATTGTGATTTTGTCAATGCCAATGGTGTTCAAGTAGTGCTCCAGTTGTTTTGGGATTGTACCGAAGATGTCTATATTATTATTATTATCAAATCTATTTGCTGCTCATCTAGCATTTCAAGGCAACACTGATATAATTAGGGTTCATGTCACCTTTATCATTTTGGAATTATTACGATTCTGATTATAATTATTAGTAGTAATGGTATCCTTCAAATCAAAAGCAATGGAATAGATCAGGGTTAGCCTGCAAAAGAGGAAGAGACAAGGAGCAGGAAGTCATAAGTACCATGATGACAAACTCTAATATATCATATTGTATGGTATATACAATAAATTTCCACATCTTCTGATCTTTTTCAATAACCTGTTGGAGAGTAAAACAACTCTACTCTGCCAATCACAAAGCCAATTTATTCTACTCACTTTTATTTAATTTTGATTGCTACTTTTGCCCATTTAATCTACCTTCCCAGGCAGGAAGGCCAACTAATCCCTCTACTGTTTTTGTATTCACTGTATCATTTACTTATATAGGGGAACAGTAACAGATTCTTCCAATTGGCCAAGCATAAGTACACAGATTTAATATACTGTGCAGCCAATCCATATAAAAACCACATAATTTGTTTTAACATTTCTCTAGTTACACCATCAGTACCTGCAATTTTACAATGTTTCCATATTTTCATGTATTTATTATTTGCTTTTCATCATTGGGTGGGTGTTAAATATCCATTTTGATAATTGAATAGCATTGGCTTCAAATTCTTCCTTCAACCTATAAATTTTAATTCCCATAGAAATCTTTAAAATATACCTTCTATCATTCCTTCACTTCAATTTCATCCCAAATCATTTCATCATTTTTATTTTTAATTCCTTTCACTCTGCTGCAGGCATCTTTTAGTCATCTCCATCTATTTCCAAAATAATGTTATTTCAATCAAAATCACTCTACATTTTCTCTGCCTTTTTTCATCTTACTTGTGCCTTATTTTTTATCTTTTTAAGCAGTATACAATATTTTTCTGTCATCTTTATTTTTTTGCAGCACTAATTCTTTTACATGCATTTTTATCCACATGTACATTTCATCGTTCTCCAAAAATACTCCTTACTTACTTTATATACAGCATTTTAAGTGCTATTTGAATGAGAATTCAGAATTCAAGACTTAAGAGTCAACCATGCTATTTAATAAAAGGTTATTCATTATGCTGGAAAAAAGAACAAGAGCAAAAACATTGATTTATCTCGCAATTCTGTTTTTACCAAGCAAAAATGTTACTTCAAGCCAAGCGCTCTTGTAATTGAAAATATATTTAGTTAAGGTGACAGATGTCTAGAAGAACATGAAGTTGGCCAGGATCAGAAAAAGGCAATTCATCATCTATGATACAATAGTAATAAAACAGAATAATTCTCATAAAAATAACTCACTGTTTGAATTTAAACGATTGGATGAAATTGAATTGCAGTGAAATCAACTTGATAATCCTTTAGTACATATTTGTATTCAGCTCCTGCTTACAAAGGTACTGCATTAACATTGTACTAAAGGAAATATATAACCTACCATACACACACACACAAATGCACATTGTGCATGAGATATATGCACATACACATACATTTCATCTCACGTCTCATCCCCAGAGAAACATTTCTTGTTTAAATGGAGCTGTAGTAACTGTATATCCAAATGTGAAATGTGTACACAAAGTAGAATTGGCATCCTGTACAGAAAAAAACATAACATGTAAGGATTTTCCATAGAAGTGAATGAGGACACATTTGGAAATTTGAGGACCATATGAGGCTAATAGTATTATGACAAACAGACAAAACAGTAAAAAAAATTAACAAAAATAAAACTCCTATTCTTCACTGAATAATTAGATTTAGTTGTCCAGGTGTAAATAGCATATTTAAACAAGAGGTTGAGGAATCACTTATTTGAATTATTTTCCATATAACAACAAAATGGAAATCTTGCTTTCTTGGAAACTTGAATAGCTATTGGAATTTCAAATAAATTTTGTATTGTTAATAGCGTTTTGTCAAAAAAAGGGTCTAATTTTCCAAAGAAAAAGCAATGCAGTATCTATCTTTGGAGTTACAAACTTCCTGATGAACAGAGAAATTGTTCCAGTTTCACAGTGCACACAGATAGAGTCATAAATGCTTGAAACTCTGTCCAGGCACAGCTGGCACTTATCAATTCTGATTGCAAGCTATCATCCTCCTCAATATGTTGTCCCATGCAACTTGTTCTTGCCTTCTAGCTTCCCTCTAGGCATGATATTGAGAATCTAGTGCAGGATCTAACTTTGCAGAGGGAGAGTCTGAAGCAATAATTCTGCCTCAGCATCAGGGCTAGGACCTGCTCCCTCAACAGGAAGTCTGTCTGGTGTTGTGTCCTGTTTCCTTGTTCTCTCATCAATAGTTTACATGCCAATAGCATGATAAAAGATCCTTCAATGATGAGAATCATAGCAGACGAAAAGTCTTCCAATCTGTCAAGATTTGTATCTATTCCAGCATAATCCCCATACTTTTATGATATATTTTTAAGAGTATTATATTTTCACAAAGCATCTTATTAGACAATTGGAAACCTACAGAGTGAATCAAAATGATGAAATTACTATTACTACCAGTGCTAAAAACCCAATGGTACATTTAACTACTATCTTAAAATTTACTTCCAGAGTTGGTTACTTAAATCTACAAATAGAATCAACCAACCAGCTAGACAAGGGATCAAATCTCCTCCGTCAAAGATTTAAGATAGATAAAATAATTTTTTGTTTTAAACAGTCTCAAACTGAGTTTAAATTAAAACTGTATACAAATGATGAACATGTAATTGCTAAAATGTAAATGTTTATATTTACATTTTCAGTAAAAGTTTTATTGAAATTTGAAACAAAAGAAGAATATGAAAGTCTATATCAAAGTGGGATAAAAATCTTGGTCACAATATGTGGGTGAATATGTGGTTAAAAGAACTGAAATTTACATTATATTAAAAACAAAGCAACTTTTTAATAAAATGATGTATCTTTGTCACCAGAAAAGTTGTCTAGAATACATAAATGTATTTCAAGTTTATTTAGAAACATGAACAACATGAAGGGACATTTTATCATGCTTGATGGACATGTAAAAAGCCAGAAAGTTTTGGATTCAAATACATACAGTAATTCAGAAGATTTTAAACTTTAATATATGATTGAAACTAGAGGTTTTTCTTCTGGGACTTATCAATAAACAATTGGGGGAAAAGTCATGGAACTTTATTTTTATATATGAAAACTGCAGCAAGATTATTACACGGATGAAACTAAAAACATAAGATTTATGGTTTTAATGTTTAGAAAAGAGATTATTTAAAAATGAGAGAGACATTGTAAGAGATAAATTTATACTTATAACTCCTGTAAAGAAAACTAAAAGCTATTTCTTTATATTTTCTTTCTTTTCTTTTTTCTGCATGTTTTGCTTTTTTTCTTCTTCTTGCTGTTTTCTTCTGTCTTAATATTAGTTTCTATTAGATTTTACCTTTCTTTTTAAAATTTTAATAAAATTATGTGGGAAAAAAACCCTCTTCCTTCGAACCAATTAGTTGAGCTCTTGGCCTTTCAATATCGACTTCAGCAACAGAGTGGTCAATGTCTGGAACACTCTACCTGACTCTGTGGTTTCTTCCCCAAACCCCAAAAACTTTAACCTTAGACTGTCTACTATTGACCTCACCCCTTTCCTAAGAGGTCTGTAGGGGGCGTGCATAAACACACCAACGTGCCTACTGTCCCTGTCCTATTGTTTCTTTTATTTTTATTTTTTATTTTTCTTATATGTATCCATGTATTCATAACTATGTTTTTACTTATACCTATTATTTTGTAAGCAATTGACATAAATAAATAAATAAATAAATAAATAAATAAATAAATAAATAAACAAACAAACAAACAAACAAACCAGCAACTTCTACCTAGTTGACTTCCAATTTGGAATATGATGTGCTTATGCACTCAGAACCAGAAACACATAAAATAATAATGCCAGGATGAAAGTTTCTTTTTCAGCAATAGGTATTGCTGATGACAAACTGTGTTTTTCTTAATATTATTATTATTATTTATTTATTTCTAAATAATTAGCACCAACTAGGCCCAAACTTTTCAAAACAACTATGTTATGAGCCAGAAAAGATCTTGATCCTCGGCAAGGCTCCGTAGTCATTTTTTTTCTCTTAGTGGTCATATTGATCTTGTCCTAATTGTCAATTTTCTGCAATGAACACAGACTATTCCCTCCAATCGCTTTTCAGCCACAGCTTCTCTCTTCAATCAGTTTTTCTCACTTCGTCAGTTTTCTGTTATCATCCAACCCTCGCTCTTTTGGGTTTCTTTTCTCCTTTAGGCCACTGTCAAATGAAAAGAGTTCTGCCCCAACTGCTAATCCTGCAGGATATTTTCCTCCCCTAGTGATTTAAATCTATCTGTGTTCATCTTTCAGCTGTACTGATTCATTCTGAAACATACCAACAGAATTTCTTCATCAATCCCAGATTACCATTTCTGCAAAAACTTCCTTTTTTCTAGCATAAACCTCAAAGAGATTGCTTCTCTTGGTATCCTTGTTTATCTACAAGCTTCTCTTGAAAATAAAAGTTAACTATTTTCTACTTCTGCAGCTAATTTCTACTTCAAATGCTAATCAGTGATAATATAGGAGTGTCATGAACATTCTAATTTCTCAAGAATATATGTCAGCTCAAGCAGAATTTTGGCAAACCCTGTGAATTCTGAAAAGGAAAGAGACATTTTCTTTTAAGCAGCCGGGGGAGGGAGGGATAATCCGTGATCTAAAATCAAAAGAGGCAAAGTGCTAAAGTTTCAGGAAAAAAAATTAGACAATCAGTAAATGGATTTTAGAGGCACTCCGTCCTGAGGGTCAGAGGGGGAAAATACTTCCAATGACAGTAAGATTATAATTAGAGCAAGCTAAGGAAATGTCAGTGCCTGTTCCTTTAACAACTGTCTGACAATTTTAATTTTGTAATTAGCCAAAGTGAAAAAGCTACTTGTGGTGAAATCCCAGCTTCATAAAAATAATAAAAGTATGAATCTTGTCTTTTGAGTATTTTAGCCCTAAGTTTACACTTTTAAAGAGAAAGGAGGCATACAGTATGTTTCCTGCAGGTAAGACTCAGTCATTTCACAGAAAAGTGCTCCTAATTTTTGCACAGGATTGTACAGCCTGTACTTTTTGATTTCTTTATCAGTTTACCTTAAACAGTTAACAAAGCTGACGTTGAACTATTTCCAACATTCCAGAGAAATCATTAACGAAACTGTGTAGCATCTGAAATTCTCATTATCTTTTCTTGCAGGGATATTTCTGAGACAAAGATCAGCCAACTACCAAACATTGGTTTAGAGCACATTAACAAGTTGGTAGCGAAATCTACGTACAACTTAAAAAAGCTCCCTCCCTTGGACAAGTTCCATGCTTTGATTGAGGCAAACCTCACATATCCAAGCCACTGCTGTGCATTTGAAAATCGGACTAAGCAAAAGTGAGTAGCTCATTTGTTTTCTGTGTAGGGTTTTGATGCATTTCTGACTGCCAAAAGTCTGCTCTGATTTTCACGACTAGCCTGAGTAACATGCAATTTGTTTAATCTGCCAGGCAGGAGGGGAAAAAAAACATGCAGTCAGCCCTTAGGTTTCTCAGCCCAGCAAAGAAACATAAACGTTAGAGACTTTCCTTCTCTCAACAAGTTGGATACTGATTGTAGTGGCCAAGTTTCATCCTGAATAACCAATTACCAGAGAAGGACATGGCCAGGGGTGGGATTCTACAGGTTTTCACCTATTCGCTAGAACCGGTTGTTAACATTCTAAGCAGTTCAGAGAACTGGTTGTTAGAAGAAATTACTGGCCTAATTCTGTAAGGAAGGAAGGAAGGAAACATTCTGGAGTTGCTTACAGAAACTGCCTCTCCGTTAACCCTTATTACATTCTTGGCAGGACTAGACTTCCTGTCTCTGGAACTTCTCTGGAGATTTTTTCCCCTCCTTTGCTGGTACTTTGCTTGTGTGGAGTGACTATTCAAAGTTACAATGGCACTGAAAAAAGTGACTTATAAACATTTTTCACACTTACGACTATTGCAGCATCCCCACAGTCACGAGAGGCCAGGTGAGGAGATGCATGCCTCGATGTGAGTGATGTTGAGTTGGCCACGCCCAGCCAGTGACATTACCACCAAGCCACACCCACCAACTAAGCCACGCCCACAGAACCGGTTGTTAAAAAAATTGAATCCAACCCCTGGACATGGCCCTCCAAAATATAGTTACATTCTATTTTTTAACAGTCCTAGCTAGAAGACAATAACATCTGGAGGATAATAGACTGCTTACTTATACATTAGATTTTGCAAATAAGAGGAAGATGGGGATTAAAAGAAACTCTGCTCCTTTCTGGCTTTTGGGGGTAGAACAGGGAGTTCAAATGGGAGGCCATATTCAGCAGCTATGTAAAGAATCCCCTTTCTACCCAAAGTATCATCAGCTGTAGCCCTCCTCTCAAAAGAATGAATCCTGTAAAAAATATTTCTGCAACTTTCCCTCATTTAAGAACACAAGAAGGATAAAGCAGGCCTTGGCATTTGGACAGCCTTAGGGCAGGAGAAAAATGAAAACAGTGAAATAGATGTCACCACTGTGTTCATTTTAATAACTCCAGTTTTCAGATATAAGCACTAGCATAACCCCCCCCCCATGGAGTTTCACTGGTGCTAATCATCAGGTCTCCTCATTGTTTTAAATAAGACTTCCTTCATGTTGATTTGCCATCCCTGTATGACTTGGGCCTTCATGCATCAAGAGACCTCCTCATTTATTTCTGCCTTTTCAACTATTCTTTGAGATGTGCACAATGACCGGAGGGGAGGAAATATCCCCTGCTGCTGCTGCCCCTCGACCTCCTTCCTTTACTGCCACTCCTGAATTAGCCTCAAACACCAGCAGCACTATCATCCGAGTCCTCTCCCTCCTCCCTTCAGCTGGCAAAGGTGTGTGTGTGTTTTGTGCCACTGTAGTCATGTGACTTTTATTTTCCCTTTTCCCTCACACATTTAAACACCTGCAGCCTAAGCAGGCTAGGCATTTCACTCTCACCATTGACAGCCTCTTCTCTGGCCTTGCGGATTAGAGGATGCTTAATGATGCTCCTGGAGACTGCAAATTCCATCTCTGGTTTTCTTACCTCTGTTAGCCATCACTCTTTGTTTTAAATGTTGGCTGTTGCTGAAGGAATTACCTGCTTAAGCTTCCCCACAACTTAAAGAAAAACATCTGCCAGGTGTCCTCCAAACTTGGTAGCCAGTTATAATGTCTTCTAAAGTAATCTACTTTAAAAAAAAAATAATAAAAAAAATGTTGACATTGTTAGTATCTTCCCAGAATTCACATATTAGTATTTCGGTTAATATTGGCACTATATGTCCCAGGTTCTAACTGTGCTATTTTCATCTTTTTCAGTTCTGTGATGCACCCTATATGCAATAAATCTGCAATTTCAGAAGAGTCTGATGAGTTCAGTTTTGAGCTGGATGAAAATGATTACTATCATGCTCTATGTAGAGAAGAGTTTAAAGTGGCTTGCTTCCCAGAGCCTGATGCCTTCAACCCATGTGAAGACATAATGGGCCACATAATTCTCCGAATTCTGATATGGTTCATCAATATCTTGGCCATCATGGGAAACCTTGTTGTGTTCATCATTTTAGTTAGCAGCCAATACAAGCTCACTGTCCCTCGATTCCTTATGTGCAATCTTGCATTTGCTGATCTTTGCACAGGTATTTATTTACTATTGATTGCCATCAAAGACATGCAGAGTAGAACTCAGTATTATAATTATGCTATTGACTGGCAAACTGGGGCTGGTTGCAATACAGCTGGTTTTTTCACTGTATTTGCAAGTGAACTCTCCGTATACACTTTAACCGTCATCACATTAGAACGATGGCATACCATCACCTACGCCATGGAACTAGACCGCAAAGTCCGCTTCCGGCATGCAGTGATAATTATGTTGGTAGGATGGGTCCTTGCCTTCACAGTGGCCCTCCTTCCCATATTTGAAGTCAGCAGCTATATGAAAGTTAGCATCTGCCTACCTATGGATATTGAAACTCTGCTTGGCCAGACCTACGTCATGTTTTTGCTGATATTAAATATTCTTGCCTTTGTTATCATCTGCTCCTGCTACATCAGCATCTACTTCACAGTGAGGAATCCCAATGTTTTCTCATCCAACAGTGATACCAAGATTGCCAAACGCATGGCAATACTAATCTTCACAGATTTCCTTTGCATGGCACCAATCTCCTTCTTTGCCATTTCAGCATCACTCAAGGTCCCTCTGATCACTGTGTCCAATTCAAAGATCCTCCTTGTTTTGTTCTACCCCATTAATTCATGTGCCAATCCATTTCTTTATGCTATCTTCACCAAGACGTTTCGCAGGGATTTCTTCATCCTACTAAGTAAGTTTGGCTGCTGTGAAATGTACGCTCAGATTTATAGAACGGAAACCTCCTCTTCTGTTCATACCTCCCACATGAAAAACGGGCATTGTACCCCAGCTTCTAAAACCAGTGATGGAACAATTTATTCATTAGTGCCTCTGAATCATGTAAACTGAAGCAGAATGACTGTAAATTTATGTCAAAGGTTATCAAATGGTGATTCTGCTTCCTTGGCAAGATGAAGGCAATTACAAGAGATGACAATTTTTTCCATAATTTCAAATTGCTATTTAGTTGTTTAGTTCTCAGGCATACCACACTGATATAAAATTGATGGGGTTAAATGTAGTTACCAACATGTGATATTGCTGAAATATCTTGATTTAGCCAACTTGATAAAACACATAGTGTCAGCTGCAAACTTAGCTATATTTAAAATAGATTTATTCAGCTCAATGAGAATTATGTTGATCATCAATAGCTTTTAAAAAATTCTCAACTTACTATGACTAGCTCTGGATCTAAACTATTTATGAATGTATTCTCCAAACTAAACTGTTTTTTTTTTTTCAGATGAAGATCAAAGTAGTAATATACTTTTGCTTACTACAGGCTTCTTTAATGAGCAGATAAAACAAATTTACACCAAGTTGACACTGGTGTAATCCAGATCAGAACTATCTGTTATAACTGACATTGCCAAAATCTTGGGCGAGTTCATTTCCCAGTAATTTTCCTATTTGAAATCTCATTAAAGAATCTAAAAGGCCAGAAACCAAATCTTTATGTACAAAATGCATGCTGTGTCATTCTTTTAGTAAGGTCTTCCTACATTTACCTACATAAATATCAAATGCTTTGAGACTTAATAAAATTAGGTGATCAAATACTGTACCTTGGTGGAACCATAGATCCTTACTTCCCTTTGTTTACCATTCTTCAGATCAAAGAAATATGAAAGCCATCTAATCTATATAATGCAAAGGTCAGGAATCTCCCAAAACAGAAATCTCAGTCCAGATCTTTGTGAATTGTCAAAAATATATCCCGTTTATAGTCCACTCTAGGTTACTGATCTGGTCTGTTCCTTGATTACAAAGCTGATGGAAAAAACTTCTATAAATTATGAAAGGGATTCCTGGATACACATGGTTTGTTTGCTGTTGTTGGGTACTAAATAAAAGATTTGTCAAATCCTTGTTTGCCTGCAAGATTAGCAAAGGAATACTATTTAGCTAAGTACATGTTTCCCTACATGACAGACTAAGGTAAGGAAGAGAAGAGATTACAGTTAGAAAAATGATATAATAAAAGTTATCTTCCCCCTCCCTTCAGCATTAAATGATGCGTTCAGTAAACATGAAAGTATGTATGCCTGGTCAAAACATTGAATAACTTAACCAAATTATTATAGCTTATAATTTTGTCTTAATGTGATCTTAGTTCTCATAATAAATGTAGATAATGGTTGGTGGCTGGAGAAGGCTCCTGCATATTCCTAGGATAGCAAAGATGACTAGCAAGCAAGTGCTGGAATACATAATACCAGACATGTCACTAGAAGGCAAAATCATGAAGCTGCATCTTATTTACTATATGTGGGGGAATTCATTGGAGAAAGCATTTATGTTTGGAAGTGTTAGCAGTAAAAGGAAACCAGGCCATCAAAGAATAAGGTGGCTGGATATCATCAAAGCTGACACCAACCAGAGCATAGAAAAATTCAAAGAGCTAGTGCAAGATCAGAAGATGTGGAGAGACCTAGCCCACAGAATTGAAAAAGTCAGATTCGACTGAATGGATAACATTATCATCATCAAGAAAGCAAAACCTACTCCTATTTTGCATAAGACTTCTCAGAATGGAAATGGATTATAGTTAAGCCATTGAAGAAAGAATGGATAATCAAGAGCAGCTGTGATAGCATGGACTTTTTTCTTGCCCCAGGCTGCAGAACCAGAACCTGTAAATTAAAGGTACAAGGAAAAAGTAGAAAAGACTTTTACATGAAGTGATGATCTGTCCTTCTCTGGAGGTGCTCAGACAGAAGTTGAAAGTCTATCTGGCAGAGACGCTATAATGGATACTACAATGGATTGGACTAGCTCATTATTTTTCAACCTCAGCAACTTTAAGATGTCTAACAGAATTGGGGGCTAGACAATGTTAAAATCTCTTAAATCCTATGATTTAGGAAAGTAGATCTTTTTTTATTGTGGACAGTCAGCATGGATTTCATATTTCTAAATAAACTGTTTTTTATGTCTCTTGCTCACAAGAGTAAGCCAGAAAACATTTTTCTTTGCAATAATAATAAAAATTCCAAAAATGTTGTTGGAGCCTCAATTTTGTATCATTTTTGAAGGATAAAGAACAGAAATTAAATTTATGATGTAATAAGATGTTGTTCAACACCCTCACCCATTTGAACAAAAAAACACAGAAAATTTATTAATCTAACATCATTTTGCAGATAACACAAAAAGCATTTAGTAAGATTTTGATAAAATATTGCACAACAAGAAAAATCAAATAACCAAATATAGGCTGAAGACTAACAAGCTAAGGAAAAACACTTTCAGTAAAGATTTAGGAGTTATGATAGATAATAGATTGAGTAGTACAATACAAATTGTTTTTAAATTCTTTTTCCCAAATTCTTTTTGCATTTGGAGTTCCAAATTCTCTTGCCTTGCTTCCTGCTTGAACCAACTATAACTATTGTTTTATTGGACAGTGTAAATAATTAGGTCTGAACTAAACTTTCTTACGAGAAGGGGAAAACTGATTCTTTTTCTTCCTCTTCATTTGATAGATGTAAATTTTTTAGGAGATATTCATTATACACTGGATTCCCTCATCCAGTTTTTTTCTCTACAATAGCCCTGTGAATTAAGTCAATCTGAGTGTAAGTGACTAATCTAAGTCAACCAATAAATTCCCAAACCCATTTTATCCTATCTCAAGAAAAAGAAAACAGAGCCACTGTATTTAAATGTAAAACTGTTAGCACAGTTGTGACTTCTAACAGTAACACAGCTAAATAAAGGTAGGGAATGTAGAAAAAAGAGGGAATGAAAAAAAAAAGATGCCATAAATCGGGGGTGTCAAAATCACAGCCCAAAGGCCCAATGCATCACACGCTGACCATGGCCACCCCCAGTGAAGGGGGTGAAAAGTTATGATACCTCACGTGATGACAACATGACGCTGGGAGTTTGACATCCCTGCTATAAATCATTGCTGGAGTTGTCCCTTTGCCCTAAGAATCTGTTGGAAGATTCTCCTTTCCCAGGAGAAATTGTGATGGAAAAGTCTGCAGTTTTCTTACTAGATGAGAGTTAAGTTATCCTTAAAACAGTCATTTGGTTTAATGACTGCTGTAAGGATAATTTAACACTCCACCACCACTAATGCATTTAGTAAAAAAAAATTGTGAAGCTTCCACTTGTGTATTACTCTCTATCACCCTAACAAATGAGAGGATGAAACTTCTAGGAGTTGTGGATAGCACACTTGAAGCTTTAGTAACCATTAGACTTGGCTTGTCTCAAGTATATTTTGTGGTATAATAATTCTGAAATGCAAGGTACTGTTATTATCACTATAGTTCAGGTATGCTATGCCAAGACAATGCAGAAAAGGTCTGCTTACAGTGAAGCTTATTCTGAAAGCTGACCAAAGACTTCTTATTTTCCAGTCTCGCTTTAGGAGGGTTCTCAGTCATTTGAATATCTGAACAGCTTAAGGCACATATTTTGCCCTTTAAAATATCTCTCGCCCACTCTCGCCCCCAAAATACATTCAAAGGACCCCGAGTGTTTGACCCACCAATAAGGGAGGAGCCTTTGCCTAGAAAGAATGCAAGGTTTTTTCACTCCCTATGACATTGGAACGCCCCATTCACCTCAAAGAGTTCCCACCCACCCCCCACTTTCTGTATTTGTTAGTTGAAGCCAATGGAGAAATCTTGGTGTCAACAGGAGATGTTTCACTAAGTGAAAGCATTCCTCCCACCTTCCAAGTTCAAGAAGGTTTTTTTTCCCCTTCAGCCCACCTGCAACTTTAGACAGACAGTTGATCTCTACCATCTCATTCCAATGGAATGTTGGCTCGGTCATAGAAAATTCTAACCCAAACTTTCTTTCAGAGAAATAAAATGTGCCCACATATCTTCTCTGAGACTGCTGATGGCAGTGACAAATGATCTCAACAGCACTATCAGAAGCCTTATTGATGCCTTTCAATTATACCAATTCATACATTCCCAATTTGTTACTGCCCAAAACTAATAACAGAGAAATAATAAATAACCTCCTAGGACAAGAATGGGAGGAATTTGTTAGTGAAGTCCCAAATAAGTGTTATCCTTATCTGCAGCTTCAGTTATCTGACCACGGTCTGCAACCAGGGTCGAAGTGACCTTTAGGTAGAACTGGCCCACAGCAAACAAAAACTAGCAAATAAAAAACAGTTACTGAACACTCAGAAGAACATGATAGAAATATGCAACTGAGAGAACAAAGTTAATAAACCTTTTTGATCACATGAAATAAGAAATGATAATTAAACATTTTCAGAGTTAACTTTTGCAAATAATAATTCTCTGGAGGAGAAATAAAAAGTCATCTTAATCTTTCTCACTAACCCATTTTAGATGGTTGCTTGGATGCAGCATATTGTATTACCTATGTGGGTTTCAGTGTTACAGATGTGAACACTTTCTAATATCAGGCTTGCATATTGTTTTTGTTTTTTTAATAGTCTCTGTGACCTATGAAAAGCTTGAAAGCTCTTAGTATAGAGCATCTACCCAACATTATTTCAGAGAGAAGCATTTGAAGTTTGGAGTGGGTTGTGTAAGAGGTATATTTGAATACTTTCTCCTGTTTAAAAACAATTAAGTAAAATTTCCTGTCACAGAAAACTAGTATTCTTCCTCCAGATTTTTTAGACATACAAATGTGGGTGCAATCTGTGTGCAGGGATTTCCTTCTCTAGAGAGTAAGCATGTATGGTGCATTCCTCTACTCTACTACCCCACACACATTTGCCCTGTTCCCATATAGGAGGATCAACATGGTAACAACCAAACCCCTCTTTTCATATTTTCCCACCATATGTTAAGATTTTCAGTTCTTTGTGCATTCCAACTATTCCCAAAAGCATTTCATTATATTTTTTTTGTTTTTTACTGCCCTGGTTTTCTTTGCTTAGAGTTTCTCTGCTCAGAGTTTATTGGGGGTGGGGTATTCAGGGGCACACATGGATTGAGTTGTAGAAGCCTCAGTGATAATTAACAAAATAATAGAGAAATATGGTTGGAAGGCACCATGGAGGTCTTCTAGTCCAGGAGTCACCAACCTTTCGGACCTCATAATT